TACAAAGGGTGGAAGTATCCTACTCCAATGTATGTTTGTGACCACTGAGCAGACTACCGGCCTTAACATCCAGTGGGATTTTATTTCATCATCCTCCTTGAAGGCACAGCAGGTAGATACATGCTACTGCTCAGATCAGCGCTTTACACCAATTAAGGCTGTTTTGATGTGCTTCAAATGTGTTGTATTATCGACCGATATACTATACTATACTGTAACGTCAGGTTTAGTGACTTCCTTCATTGATAAGAAGTGAATATCAGAATATTTCCAATTACATGTATTGAGCACAAAAGCAAACCTTTCCTCCCTACATTTGGTAGTCCAGTATCTCACAGTGTTTGAATCCACGAGGCTTTGCGTGATATTGTAAAGGCATCAGTCATTTTGTCGGTTTCTTTCAAGTTTGCAAATGCAGGCCCAAATCAATGCTTTAACTAAATTAATGAAATGGTGGATGAAATGAAGGATCTCAACATTTTGGAAGATATTCAAAGTTCCAGTTGCTTGTAGTTTAAATTACTCATAGAAAAATCAACTTCATCACAAAGCTTGAACCAAAAACACGTCATGTGCGTGCTCATGCAAACAGGTTCGCTCCTTTTTTCAGTATGCCGCCTAACTGTTAGCAGACACACCTCACTGAGACAACAAAGCCTGTGATTGAGAAATCAGAAAAGTACAACAAGTAAAAGTACATTTAGTAAAAAATTACTCCATTCTGAATGATTACAGGCATTAATGAGTATGATTATTATCAATCACTTATAATTGTTTCTTTGCCAACTTTGAATTTGAGCTCATTTTCCAAATGGTACTACTATGAAATAATATAAAAGTATACAGAAACGTTATTTAAGTGTCTTTCTTGTGTCAGATAATCTAACTTGTTACAATTTACTTACAGGTGTATTACTATCAATCAGGAATGGATGTCATCACAAAATCTTATGAGGGCAGGCTTCAGCCTCCCTCTTTCCCTAACGCAACCAGAAACGCCTCAATAGTAATAAGCAACATGCAACCATCAGATACCGGAGTCTACACCTGCGAGGTTCACAACTTTCCTGATGTGGCCGGAAAGTCTCAGGCCAACATCATTGTGAATGTTCTTGGTAAGTTCTATAAACTCCAGAGGTTGTAAAAGACGTTTTTTTCTGCCCTTTAGATGTTACGTTAACACACAACATTAGAGAAAGGTTCACGAGTGAGGAGATCCAAACTTAATAGGGGAGTTACTGAAAAGTCAGACGGCTGAGGGTTTATTCACCTGTTGGTCAATATATCAACTTGAGTAAGAGAAAGTATATAATAATTATTACACATCCAAAACAGTCCTGAGAAGAGCTCTAACTGTTAATAATCTAAATAATCAAAAACACTGTGACAGTCTACACTGGGTGTGTAGGGAATTTCATAATACCTGGACCACACCCACTAGCAGTATCGGCTGAACATTTGTGTTATGAGAGAAAGCGGCAATAGTTGATCATTTTTGTGTCAGCGTGGCGCTCTAATATTCTGCTTTCAAACTAGCATCCACCCCTGGACTTGGGTGTAGTCTAACAGTACGAGCTGATGGTGCAGCTACAAAAAAAAATAAAAACTTATCTGAACCTCGTGCTGGCGCCATTATTCTCCTGCCTATAAGGGTGTGGCTTCCTGAAACGGGTAGCCAAAGCACACCGTCAGTTTCTTTTAAGTTTCTGGTCTCAAATATTATTTTGGATTTCATTATTTTTGAGTTGTATGTTTAAATGTTGTTCCCGTAGTAACCACCCTGTTTCTGCATTTGTCTTTTCCTCTCTCTCAGTATTTTTCATGTGAATGTAGGGCTGCATTAGTCATGTCTGAGTGAGCCACTCTTTCACTGTCATGAGTGAGCACTGAGCTTTAATTTTTTATTTTAACACAAAATCCCAGTGTAAATTACTGTGGTTAAAATATAACCAAAGCAAGAGTACTTCGACGTACTTCAAAGTTATTTTCACACCTGAGATTACTGTATTATAATTGTTGTTATATTAACAAATCTCTTAAAATAGTGTCCCTGAATAGTGTGATTAGGGAATTACATTCCGTTTGAATCCTCTCATTCACCGAGTTACCAGGGACAACCTTGCAAGCCTCAGTATCCTCAGTAGTTTCCATGGTTACTGCAGCGGTCTCCTCATTGTCAGTTGGAAATTAGAGTAGGTCTGTGACTTCATCCCTGCACCGCATACAGAATATGTATCTGCATCTGCTGCATGCTAACCACACGTCTTGTATTCCATAACTTCGGCCTTTATGACAATGTTTGCAGGACACACTGAATGTGATACATACCTAAGTTCTGTATGAATATGCATGGCTGCTCTCATGCTGATTATCGTGGGATCAAAGATGATTTTCATCATCGCTTACTGTTACATAGAATTATGGTTATATTTTAAAGAGAGTGAGCACTCTATCATAAATTACCAATAAGTGTGTAAGCTTTATATCCCTTTTATGAAAACACAAGAGATATGAAAAAATATATAGTTATGTCATTTTCAAGATGTTCTAGCAGATTTATCCAATCAATGTGCTGAAAAGCCTGCTGATTAGTAGGCTGGCACCGTGACATATACAGAAAAGATTCAGCCAACTCTGGAGCAGAGAGTTGTTAGACCACTCCCAGCACACTTCTTGTTTCATGATGACTAATGGACAGACACGTGACGTCTTGTTTGATTAACCGTAAGCAAAGGATTTGCCATTTAAAAAAAACTCAGATCTGTACGACACACAGATTTATACGTTATCTTTTCTCTTTGTTAGTGTGACATGTATGACCTGTTTTGAATAAGAAAATTATTGTTAGTATTACATTTTTTAAAGCATAATCTTAAAGCAGTGGTTGAAGGTGACTAAGCATATTTACTCAAGTACTTATTATTTAGAGTTTTTCTATTTAATGCAACTTTAGACTTCAACTCCACTACATTCCAGAGGGAAATACTGTACTCTATACTACGCCATATGAAATATATCACAGACAGGGGACATTTTTCCTCAGAATGAGTACATTTACTTTTGATAATTTAAGTTCATTTGGTGTGAATGTATTTGTTTATGTAAGCTTTTGAATGCAGGACATTGAATTTTAATGGAGTATTTGAAAACTGCGTACTGGTACTTTTACTTAAAAGGATCTGTGGACTTGTAATACATAATATATAAGACGTCTCATCACATATTGTAATTTGTCAAGCTCAGAAACAATATGCATATGAAGATGATGACTACTAGTATTTTGATTTTAAGTAACTGGTATCAGACTTAGTGCTCCACAGTTGTGACACACATCCTCTTACCAAACCTCTCAGGAAAGCTAATCAATTCAGTCCAACGCTCTTATGAAAAATATCGACGATCTCCACTGATTAAGCATGTGCTTCATAATAATGTCAAGTAGATTTAGAGGACTGAACATAAAGTCACCTAATGAATTCATGTATCCTCCTTGTGGTCTGTCAGAGAGGCCCTCTGCTCCGTATTGCTCCGTCCACGGGGATGTGGAATCTGGTCATTTGGTCACTCTGACCTGCCACAGTGAGCGTGGCAGCCCGGCCCCGACATACACCTGGATCAGACTGGATCAGACCAAGACAAGGATGCCTGTACTGGGAAGAAGTGAGTACTGTAGTCTATATGTGTGTGTGTTTGTGATATACTTTACATGTGCACATTCATCCTTTTCTGAACATGCATTGTTTCCTCAGCGACCCAAACCGGAATACTGGAAATCAGAAACATATCCCAGTTTGAGTTTGGGGAGTACCAGTGCAACGCTACAAATGTGGTGGGATTTTCAACTTGCACTATAGAGCTGGGTCACGGTATGTTTATATTTTTATTTTTTAAATTGCAAAAACAAAAAATCACTAACAAGGCTTAATTCATTGATATAAAAACTAATATATGTGTAGAAGTGGGAGACGGAGTGATTGCTGGTGCGGTGATCGGCGCGCTGCTAGGCTGTGTCCTCATCATCCTGGTCGTGTGGTTCATCGCTCACACTTTGAAGAAACGCAAATACAAAGCGGTCAGAGCATCCGAGGCCAACGAGATGAAGTGAGACTTTAGGTTCTCTGCATGTTGCTTTTCATCATGTCATTTCAACCCTGCAACATCAACTCTCTCTCTGTCCACTAGGAGGAGCCCTCATCAGGCCCAGGAAGACTCAGAGGGTGTTCCCATGGCAACCACTGCCGGCAACCTCCAGGCCGAGGATGAGCCACACGCCTAAAAAAGGCCCGTTGAAAACAACTGGAGCGACGTCACGATTGTGAATAACAGGATGTCCAGTCTCCAACATACGTCATTATCAAATGTAATCAATATGATGGGGCTCATGTTGCATTTTGTTACAGGTTTTCTGAATCTAGAAAGGTAATATCCTTACCATTAATTCACTCTTTTACAGCTTTTTTAATGTGTTTTTTAATACTAATTTGCTTGAATGTAGACACAATATTTGTAGTGATTTTGTTTGTTTTAACGTCTCATAGTTAGTACGGCATTCAAACCATGTTGTGTAGACCAGAGTGAGACAAGCTCATTCCATGTTTATTGTCTTTTATGATTACCTTGTTAAAAAACAACAAAACCCGCAATGAGACAAGCTTACATTCAAATTTAGTCTTTTAAACGATAACATATCTGAAGTATTACAACGGCTTTAGAAAATGTAATCTCCTGGATCAACCTTTAGGTGATCTTTGGTAATACAAACTGCCAAGCAGCTGTGAATTAAGTATGACTGTTTTATGTAATAAGGTTCAGAGATCTCGATTAAATGAAATATTGTGTTTTCTGACTTCCAGTGTGACCATAATTGGCATTATCAAATTTCATCTAGGTGGCAGCAAACTTCCATTGGAGCCTAACACCATAACCAAAGCCTTCTATCAGGTTAGAGTCTCTGACATCTGAAGATGTGTTGTTTGGGTTTTAGTGGCTTTCTTTCTTTAGTATTTTGAGGGGTCAGATAATATCAAATCATATTTAAGGCATGAAATAAGACAGAGGCTGCCTTATGGAGCACTGAGTACTCCCATGAATCCATTTTCACCAGCAGCACTATCTTGTCTTTAGGTTGGAATTTTCTAACCTGATCTAGTTCTACACTGTGGCCTCGTGTAGCTGGTTCCCCGATAAGTTGTAGTCGGCCAGGAGCCATTTAACTGTACATTAGACATCTGTTCCACATAAGTTCTGTCTGTCTCACAGGGGGAGAGGCCAGTTGAACTCTTTGTGTCCTGACATCATATTTAACTTATAACTTCTCAACTAGACAGTGACCCTACTTTTATACATCAAAAACAGACGCATGCACACGTTTAGCCTTTATATTATTCTACAGATTTTCTTTTTGTTTTTATAATTTAGAAATGCTTAGGAGGGCTGTGGTGACAACTTGAGCCATTTTATTCCACTGATAAAAGTAAAAAAACAAAAAACAAAACTGAGGAAAGAAATCACTGGGTCATTGGTTTGATCACCCACTTTACTAACAGCTGCAGATGAATTATGGACATTGTGCACTGCAAAGTAAACATTATTTACTTCCCCATTAATAAATGCAAATATCAAACAGCTTCTTCTTAGGCACAACCAAATACATACATGTATTGCAAAACAACATGGGTACCCTTCTACCAAAGCTAAGCTAGTATCCACAAATTATTATTATTGAGTATTATTTTATTTTATTATTTGGCTGGTGTGAAGCCAGCACAGATAACCTTCAATATGTTTCCTTGATTTGAGGAGCTTTATGGAGCCAAATAGGCAGTATCCTTACACCACCTTCATTTTAAATAGTCTTACACTGATTACACCTTAGCTATGAGCAGAGCTTGTTAGGGACTTGTTTGGCCTGAAACTCACACTTACCAGACACACCATCACCCTACCAAGAAGTGTGAAGTCAACCACCTTAACCCACTTAGGGCGTGTTATTTTTGTAATTATGAAAATGGCTAATCAGGGCCCTAGGATGGTTTTACAATTAGGAGGTGGAAAAATTCAGAAATTAAGATGAAAACGTTTTTTTTTTTTATGATAAAAAGGTATAAGTCTGAAATCTATTCAGGTGTACAAAATCATCTTTGTCACCTCTGAAGAAAGTGTTCTTTATAGACATCCTAGCAACATGGTCCTCTGGATGGCATGTTGGTCCACTGCTTGGGTCCAGATTGAAATATCTCAACCTTTGGATGGATTGCTGCTATTCAAAAACAATCAATAAACATCAATTACAAAATAATGAATAAGGATGAATAAAGTACAACAGGCACCGGGTGTGAGAAGAAAGAAGACTTTCAGTGCAAATTTAATTCAACGCCATGAAGGGAGCTTCGTGTAAGGATCAGGCCTGCAGACCGAAGCAGCGTGCAGTGCTGAGGACATCGTCTCTGGTCAGATAGCATCCACAGAGCTGCCTCAGGCCCATGAAAGACTCCCTCCCATGCATGACACGCCAGTTGTCTATGAAAATCACCTCATGAAGATAAGATAGGGTACAATCTTTAGATTACACTGAATTACACTTACATTTGTATATTCCTGTTTACTTTTCAATTTTAAACTGTAAATTGCTTGATTGAAATTGACATTTGAGAAATGTAGCTGTCTTACTTTCCCTGGATTCAGTTTCACCCACAGTTCATTCTCTGGTCGCCTTAGCTCTGTTGTCAACTCTCGATGCGCCACATACCATTGCTGAACAACGTCATGGGGGACTGTGTTTATCACTGATCGGTCATAGTTGTTGTATCTATTAGGGGAAAAAAGCAACAAATCTTGTTGTTGATTTGATCTGAAGTTTAAAACATTTCATCTTTCCCGCAAAACTACCGAATATTCCTTCAAAAAGCTTTACAGTGTATAAAATGACAGAATATAAAGAATAAATACATTATGTCATGGTGAAGTACAATTGTTACAAATAACAATCAATAAAATGATACACTGGATGAAATAAGTGCAAAATGTATAAAAATGGAAATTTAAGAGAAACTGTGAATACAGTCTCTGATAATTCACTAGTGCACAAATATGAGTAAATTACATCAGATTAAAGCGCTGACATACCGGATCAGGTACATTTCATTGTTCCAAGGATAGACATTGAGCACAGGCCCGATTCCTGTCATGTGGTTTCGGTGGTTGTCTGTGTTTTCGATGTACTCGTGCCTGATGGGCACATGGGCAAGCAGCTCAAAGTTTTTAGGAGACTGCTGTCGTACTTTCTCTGCAGCGTAGAACCCGTCTACAAGTAGTGTCCTTCCCCCAGTTCCCTCATGCTTGAGGCAGTGGAACACCTGGATTCTGCAACAACAATCGGCGCTATCAAGTCAGTAGGTGTGATATATATATATATTCAATGTTTTCTTGCTTTTATCTTGTATTGTTTTTGTATTATTGTCTTTTGGGTATTATTGTCTTTACACTTGTTAAAGCACTTTGTAACTTGTAACAAATAAGATTATTATTATTATTATTATTATTATTATTATTATTATTATTATATTTATTACTTGGGTTTTGTTTAAGATATATCAAAACTCCTCAGTATAAAACTGTTGACATTGAAGTCTTTGGACTAATTCAGATTAACTGCAGCATTGTTTCTGGGAAGACAGTGTTTCAATGCTACTTTTTCAATGCTTCACACACAAGAAATCCTTTCCCTTTCACACTATTGGGGCTGTTTTCAAATCCCACACCCATCTCTGCTGCACCTACCCACATGGTTCCTGAAAGTATGAGGTGTCAGTGTGGCGGTCCAGGGCCAGCTGGCTGTAGGCAGTGTCTCCTCTTGAAAAATCTGAAGTAAAACACCACATTCTTCCATATGTAGTTTCCCTTGTGGATCAGCAACAAACACAAAATAGGGATTAGTGGACAGGGCCGAACATCTTCTGTACTGTTCGAGAATGTTGCTATTGAATGCAAGTCACAAATGCAGAATAGTTGCATGTCGTCTGTAGGAGAAAAGAGTTTCACTGTAGCATAGGCCAAAAAGAACCACCCAATACCTGATTAGACTGACCCTCTGGGATACTGCCTTTGTGGCCTCAACTGTAGCGGGGACATCATCTACAAAAGCGATCCCATACAGAAGATAATTTTGAAGAAACTTCTTTAATTCATCATCACAGCTCATAAACGTGTCCCATTTGGCAGAAGGTATGTTTGCATTTTTATAGATGTCTGCATTCCACAGGATGTGTGGCTGGACGGATCTCTGCTTCTGTCCTTCATAGCTGTTCTCAGCCAGCCAGCTGAGGCTGTACTTTGACACATGACCATCAGGCCCTGGGATACAGAAATGGAAAACATTGTTATTAGGTACAATTAATGGAAAATTGCATTAAATACTACAAATTAATTAATTTTTACTCTGCAGGTGGGTGGTGCAATGGTTTATTTGATGCTCGCGGTGTGCTCTGTATGTGATAGGCAACGGCATACTTACACAATGCTAAGCGAGCCAGGGCAACTGGGGGCTCAAATTTGCCCCAGGTTATTTCTGTTGGCCTAAATACCTCAACTGCTGGACTTAAAAGATGGCTGAGTTTAGCTAAACTGAGTTCAATGTTGGGGACCGTTTAATAGTGTTTTTTTTCTCAGTTACACAATATGCATATACAAGAAACTAAAACAGAAGAAACTCTGAACATCCTCTGTACTGCAGGACATCCGGTTTTAAAGGTTTACAGAACAGCTCATAAAAGCTTGCCATCTATATGAACTGTAAGCATACAGCAAATAAGTAGATCTGAACTGTGTGCAACATGAGCATCCATGGCATCATTGAGATTGAGTATTTAGCAAAGCAAGTCTATGAAGGCTCATGTTTATAGATAGGATGAGCAAACCCAGACTCAGTATGCCCACGGGAGTAGGTGCATCATCAAACAAGAAAACGACATCCCAGCCAGCCTGCACATTCACCAGTTTGCTTTCGGAACCAACAGATCCAAAGAGGATGCCGTCTCCACTGCCCTCCACTCAGCCCTCACACACCTTGAGAAAAACAACACCTCCATCAGAATGCTCCCCCATGAAACTGATCAACAAACTCAGCACTCTGGGTTTAAATACAACACTCTGCAACTGGATATTGGACTTCCTCACAAACAGAACAGAGCAATAGAAAGCATTCTGACTGGAAACATCACAAACTGGCATGGGATGTGCACGGCCCAGGACCACAGGGCTCTGCAGCGGGTGACTAAAACTGCTCAGAAGATCGTCGGTACCCATCTCCTGAGCATCAGTGATATTGGTGAAGTGAGGTGCCTGCAGAGCCCAAAGGATACTAAAGGACAGTACCCACCCAGCCTCAGCCTGTTCACCCTGCGGACTTCTAGGACGAGATATAGAAGTTTCTGCTGCCACACCACCAGACTGCAGAGCAGCTTTTTCTCCAAGCTATCAGACTTTAAACTCAAATTCATCCTCAGCACTGCTCCAGTGAATATTGTTAATTTCTGTTTACCATTTTTAGAATTGCTTATGTATTAATGTAAAATATTTGCTATGTAGCAGAAGGGAGTTACAGAACTCAATTTCACTATAAAACCTGTTATATTGTTACAATAAATGCACCTACCTACCTATCAACTCTCTTGGGGCTGACAGGTCCCCATTTGTCAGTTTTTGCAAGGTTCAGTGCTCCTCTTGTGCGTACATAAAAGCCCTGTTAACAGCCTGGCATTTATAAATAAAAAAGCTGGAGCCCAGCAACCCACAAGGCGGGTCAAGGTCAGTCTTTAGGACAACTCTGAATAGCATAAGCCAGACAGA